CGAAAGTTTCACCTTTGTTTCGATTCATATACAGCTCCGTTTTCGGTCGTTCCATGCCGATTAGATATTTTCGCGAGATGAATTCGTAAAACGAAATGAAAAAATCGTCGGTCACGAATAGCACGCGTTCGTTCTTCTCGGAACACAGCTGGCCGCTAATTGAGAAGTTAGGTCGATTGATAGCAAAAAGGCTGGCGGGGAATAATGTCCAAGAGTCGAAGAGATCACGATTTGTTCGTTAAATTTGGACGATGGCATTGTTTAATTAGTTCCAGGTATTAGCCGAAAGTCCCCAAGTTTACGACGACTTACAACAAAAATAACTGTAATTCTATTAACCTTTCGTCTTTGACCTTGATACCCCAAAATACTCGTACATTCCCATATGTATATAAGTTTTAGAAACTGAAATTAGTAAGGGAATCTTTTATATAAATAAATATAAACGGGATTTGGTTTAAGTATTTAATACTCATTTCCAACTACAGCCTATTGCTGCCTTCCCGTTACCCTACGCCACACATCTCGATTTAGAGCGTCATCAGCTTCTAGGTTACGAGCTTCCATTGCTTCCGTAACCGTTCCGTTCCAGGATTTTCTAGGTCTACCTCTCTTTCTTCTGCCCTGGGGAGCCCATTGAAAAACTCTTTTTGGCCACCTGTTCTCCGGCATACGCAGAACATGTCCAAACCATTTTAAGCTGGATTTTTCGATTCGATCCAGTACTGTCTCCTCCGATGCATTCATGATACGCCTGACCTCGATGTTTGTCTTTTTTTCCATCCTAGATATACCTGCACTTCTTCTAAGGTAGTCCATTTCAACAACTTGGATTTTGCGCTTCGCGTCTGCACTCAGAGTCCATAGCTCTAAACCATAGCAAAGAACTGACTCCACCAATGTTCTTCCAAGTCTCTTTTTAGTTGATGCAGATAAGTTTCGGTCCCACCAGAGGCTGTTAAGACATCCAATAACTTGTTTGCTCTTCTGAATTCGGGTTTGTATTTCTTCTTTGCCCAAACCCTCGTTGTTGATAGTAGCACCCAGGTATTTAAATTTGTCTACTTGTTGAATCTGGACGTTATCATTAATGAAGACTTCAAAACAAGCGTTGGAATTGACAGCTAAGTATTCGGTCTTCTTTAGACTAACCTGAAGTCCCCATTTGTTGTATTTTTGATAAAGCCTCTTAGTCATGAACTCTAGATCGTATGAGTCCTGCGCAATCACGACCTGATCGTCTGCAAAGCTCAGGGTAAATAGTGTGTTGTCCCCAATAGGTATTCCCATACCTTGACATTTTGTCTTCCATTCCCTTAGGGCTACTTCGACGTAAGCGTTGAAGATCAGAGGAGATAAGCTGCATCCTTGTCGCAACCCTTTTGTGGTGTTAATTGGATTAGATAGCCTGTGTCATAACTTAACGTACGATTCATTTTCTTTATATAGCTCTTTTATTATCTTAAGCAAAGGTCTATCTACTTCTAAGATATTCAAGACTTCCCATATCTTGCTGCGGGGAATAGAGTCGTACGCTTGCTCAAAATCAATAAATGCTAGATGGACTTCTTGATCTACTGCTATCTTTTTTTCCATCACCTGCTGCAGGACAAAAAGGTTATCTATGCAAGATTTCCCCGGTGCGAATCCGCTTTGGTCTTCCGAGATTTTGTCACCAATACTGTCCCTGAGCCTACCCTGTAGCACCTTTCCAAAAAGTCTGCTGACCGAACTGTTAATGCTTAGGCCTCTATAACAAGCGGGGTCGTTACGATTTCCCTTTTTAAAGATGGACACTATGGAGCCACTCGCCATTCTCGGGGTAGTTTACTTTGCAGGCAGCACTGGTTAAATAGCTCTGCCAGACGCCAGCGCAGTCTTTGGGTTCCACACTTTAACAATTCGGCTACAATATTACCAGGACCTGGTGACCGTCCATTTTTCATTCTTTTGAGACTTTGATGTACTTCTCTTTCGCTTATCATTAAAGTGCCTGCAAGGTTGTTCTCATCTTCTACTGCTTGGAATTCTGGTCGGTTTTCTGTCAGTAATTCTGCATAGTAGTTGCGCCATTTTTCTATATCCATTCTATTCAATTCAATTCAAGGGAATCTTTTGATTCATCAAAAAAGACTAAAATAAAATGGTTATACCGTGTGGTGCATCGGAACGCGGGACATAGGATATCCCATGTAAATTTTGAAATGGTCAAATATTATCTCGCCAGATGATATGCAAAAATTGTATTAGACTTTTTTGCGAAGTTATTTGCAAAAATCTACCAAATCTCAAATTACTAAAAATTTATAATACGGCCTCGAGTAAGCTAGTCAAATTCAATGTCACATTTTTTCTTGTTTTACAAGAATTTCTGTGGTTTGAAAAAGGTGGTTAATTTTTTTCTGAATTGGAATGACAAATCTACAAAATGATTAGTTGAACTGAGAATAGTATTCGCGGTATATGACTTGTTTGCTGTTCATTACTCGTTCACTTGCAGGCCTCGCCCATACCACATACATCCAAAATAATTCATGAGATAATCGAAATATTTGTAACAAAAGGAACTTTACTAAACTATACTAATTAATAAAATGTTTACATAATTCCCCATTCACAATCAAACACTACCCCAAATGATTGTGAAATTCACGCCTCACAATAAATATGTTAAAATAAAACTGTTAATGGGAGAATCTTTAGCATTCCACAGCGATGTGGTTTTCAGTCCGTTACTCTGCCCATAAAGACGGTTTTGAGTGTGCTCCACAGGAAGAAGTCGTTCAGCAAAAGATCCTGTGGTCTTTTCCTACTCTATCCCAATAAACGGGAGTCAATGTTTTTCTTTTCTTGGGCATGAAGAATATTCAAGTCATTGTTATTTTCTTGCTATTTAATGCTGTTTATTTGCTGTTTAATTTACAAAGGTGCCCGGTGGCGTAGAGGTACAGGCTCTCGTCTACCAATCTGAAGATAGTGAGTTCGAATCCTATACCCGGCATTTCATCAGCCGACTATTTTTATTGAAATAAAAATAGTTTGGGTACCTAGGTCGACTCAGCCTTAAATGAGTACTTAGGACTCACAATCCTGAGGTAATAATAGGCGGTTGAAGCGTAGTGCTAGCCACATTACCTTCCTTGTATACCGAACGGCTCTAGCATGGCAAGCTGTACCTTGCTACTCCCAAGGCGTTAAACGCTATATACGGGAGCTATTATTATTATTAATTTACAAACAGCATCGTTTAGGTTTAATCGATCTCCTTATATATCCTCTCTAAGGAGACACATCCTCTACCTAGACATCAAATCAAAGACATCGTCAAAACCTTATTGCTGTTTTCGTATTCGGGTACTGCAAAGTTTCTTTAGTCGATTTTCAAAGACAGGAAGACTGTCAAAGCTGTAGTGGGTCTACTAACAGGGCATTGTAAATTTTTTAATACATATGCATCTAAAGCTGATGTGACTGACGGACGAAGCTATGTACAGATTTTGTTAATCTGTAGAAGAAACGACAGAAAATAGTTTATATCAGTGCGACAGCATGGCAAATGTTGGGTGCTTTGTATTAGGCAGTGACCCATTGACAAAGAACTACATGGAAGGTTCGGTCTTCAAGTTATTATACTTTTTGAGAAGGATAGGGACCAGGGAATGCATCTTAGAGATCAGAAGAGGACCCCAATAGATCTGAAAAGGTCGCAGTGAAAAATCTGATATAATCTAACCTATTTACAATTGACTGAAACACCCAGTACTCCACTTTCATTTCATATTTCATAAAATGAATTTAAAAAGCAGGAGAGACCCGACGAATAGATTATGTTTGTCCAAAAGCGTTTTTTGTTTGGGACATTTTCAGCACCGCTAAAAATTCCAAATTTATTTTCGAAATGCTAGAGAATGAAATCGAACTTACTACGCAACTAAAAATAAACCACTAAAATATACAATACACCAGTCATTGAACCGTTTTTACTATTTATCGAGAGTCTCATTATCGTTAAAGTGTACTTAACACACTGGGCATTGAAAAACTTCATCTATTGTGTTTGTGAATCACGTACGTTTTGTTTTGGAAACTATCGCGCCGTTCTTGCATCATAAAAACATACAAGTTTTTTTTCATTATTATTTTCCTTTCAATAATTTATTCGATGGAAAAAAATCTATGTGAATATTATACATACATATACATACGTAGGTATTTTTTTTATGGATATCGGAATTGTTCAATAATCCTTTCATCTCCGTAGGTTAATTGATTGCTGTTAATGAACAATGTCCGTCAGTGACCGTTATAAAATCGTACCCGCCTTCGATGGTACGCCCACATCTTCAGCGACGTTGTCAGATTGTTTTATCCGTTGGTGGTTAGTAATACTACTTTCTACAACTACTTGTACTACTTGTTAAAGCGTACCGCTTGGCACAAAAATTAAAAAAAGTACCAAACTTTTCGGACTGCAGGATTGTGATTGTTGCGAATATTTAGTTTGATCTCTTACATATTTAATTATTTGTTTTCATTTTTTTATTAACGTTAATGCAAAATAAGTATTCATTTTTCAAAAACTTTGCAAATGGTATTCAGGAAACTGATTGCCGAAGTCGTACCACTAGGATTTTTATATTGATACTCAAAGATAATTTTAGAGTGTTTTTAAAAAATTACATCAGACTTTAATTGTTAATAAATATCATGTCATTTTGTATCTAAAATCAGCATACAGACCAAATGCTACACCTCCAAAATCCATTTGAAGCATTTGGTATACTTACAGCTACTTTCCTAAACCGTGTTGGTACAAATTGAACAATCTTACAGAAGTACTCTTTAGGCAAATCATTGAAAATAACAAAATAAATTATTTAGCGGTCTTTTTAGAAGTTAAGGCAGTATTTAACCATGTGGAATTACAAGGAAATATCTCTAATTTCAGAAAAAATAGACATCTTCAATTACATTCTCGCAAGCCATACAAATTCACTTACCTTAGGTCATCGAAATATTAAAGCACATGTACAAAAAATCCTTGATAAGTATTATGTGGTATTACTAGACTTTTTGTTGGGCTTACTAAATATACTACAAAATGTCTCGTCAATGCAGTTTTAAAGCAGATGTTGAAGAGGATGAGTACTTGTTCTGTAAATCACATCAACGTTTTGGTGCTGCTCAGTCCTAAAATCATAAGATATTATTTTTAGCATTTTTAAATATATTAGTTTATAAAAACAACAAGACTAAAACTAAAAATCGTAGTAATTTCTCTAACTCAAAATCTAAAAGCTGATCGTATGTAATATATTTTTCTAATAAAAAAATAAGACTGGTTAACACCATCATAAAAATGGCATGCTTTGTATAGATAACTCCTAAGATGGTATTTTATCTAAAATGTTATTTTATTAAAAAATTCCAAGTATGTTGTGTTGTATAGTATCTCTACTCATTACATTATTAATAATATATATTTTGAATCCCATAGCAAACATATTTGTTTTTATTTTTTATCCTATAGTAGGTGTGTTATGTGCTTAGTATATTAGTATCTTATCAGAAATTTTAAACAACCGACAACATTGTTTAGTAATACCTGCCCAACCTATAATTATCATGAGAAATTTATTAAATCTACACATTATTCTTTTGTTGTTGATTGTTGCTAATATGAATTGGAAATTTCCCATATTGGAATTGACAAATTTAAAATAAAAATTGAACTTAGTGAGAAGATCTCTATGATGTATTATATTTTATTTTTTCTGGTGATATTATTATTAATTTTTGTTCTTTTTTTCTTTTTTAGTGCGAAAGTGCTATTGCGAAGGCCACTGTGCAAACAATGTTGCCAATGGAACCTGCGAAATCAAAGGGGGTGGCATGTGCTTCACCGATGTCGAAGCGGTGATCAATGAAGATGGGGAGGAATTTCCCCTCAGACGGTATGGATGTCTTCCAGGGGATGAAGGAACCCTTATGCAGGTTAGTTTCAACTCGATTTTTCAACTTTTCAACTTTTTTTTGTCAGCAAATCAATAAAATTATGCAAATAATCAAAAAGCATATCATCAAAAAGTAATTACAATACTGAAATAAGAATGTATTATTAAAATAGTTATATTTTTTGATCGAATCAAAACGGCGTCAAAGATGACTGGGAATGACAAACGATGATAATTTTGGCTAGGTCATTATTCTCTAGACGTAATTTACTAAAAATTAATATAAAATTTCTCAAAAATTAGTACTAATTATAGAAATATTAAACAAGGATTAACAAGATTTCCAGACACACAGATCTATTTCCAAAAAAAAATAATTTTCCTCGAATTTTAAACCACACTTTTTAAAAATGATTTTTACTCAATATAAAAATAAATTACAAACTTCTTAAAGCCAACTGACAGTAAGAGCTATTAAAAAATAAAGAAGAGTACGGGCCAAGTAATGACGTCTAGGGCGTGACCTCGCCAAAATTATAATCGATTGTCATTCCCCCGCCGTTTATCACGCCGGTTTTTTTTTCGATTGTATGGTATTTAAAGTTTAAATATTAATTCTAAATGTTGGCTGTATCAATCAATATTTTAATACATTATTCTTCAATTTTAAAAATGGGCGCACAATAAATATTCCAGAAATCTTCACACAAAATTGTTGACAGTTTTAAATAAGGTAGTGAAAAATAAAGTTATATCTCCATCGAATTTTGCAATAACATTTGATCAAAATATGTTTAAACAATATAAAACCGGTAAAGAACCCAAGGCTAAGGCAAATATTTTGAGGCATACATTCCAGAAAAAATAAATATGTTTTTATAAATATTGAACCATTTTTTTATTGTTATAGTGAAAAAAGATAATGTTTTTTTTTAACAAAAAAAAATATTTTATTATGATTGGTTTAACCAGGGTTGGAAAAAATCATGATTTTTTTAAAAGAAATAAAAAAAATCAGATTTTTTTTTATTTAAATCGGATTTTTTTTATTTAAATCAGATTTTTTTGATTTTAATTCAAAACAATATTTAAATCGGATTTCCAAATGACTAGGACTTATTTCCAATTAAAGTCCTATCCTAAATGGCTAAATCTTAATAACTCTGAGTGATACCGATAACATTAACAATTCTACGGGGCGTGTCATTTTTCCACATCGGTCACCAATATATTCCGCAAAAAAGTCGCTCGCTTCAGATCAAAAGGATTTTTTTTCAAACGTCTCAAAAGTATTAATTTTTGTCATTTTAACGGCTATAGACATAAAAGTAAAGCACTGTTACGCCTAAGCACAAAAGTACAAAAATATATTATTAAACTGATATTAGGTGTCAAATTCAACGAGTGTACAAATCGTTTCTCGATTACTGTTTGTATTATTTGGAATGTTTGAAATTGATTAAAAAATTATTTGTCATGTTTTAAAAAAATAGTGTTATTCGGAGTAAAAATGTACTTTTTGTGCCTCCTTGTAACGTCGGAAAAGCTTACGATGGCCCTTCAAATGTACAGCATCGTCAAAAAAAGTATAATTTCTACTCTTAATGAAACAATACACTATTGTTCGGAAATAGTCTTAAGTCGAGAATGAAAATAGTATTATCTAATTTCAAAGTGTAAAGTACTTACTGCAAATCAAAATGTCTGTAAGAATTTGGAAACATACCACCGTTTCAAAAAAAAAACAACAGATTTTCTGACAACGATTATAGATTTTCAGGAATGAAGATATAGTCTCTATATCAGAAGAACCTAGTTCTGCACTAGTCTGCGAATGATATGTATTCGAAAAGCGAATTTTTGTCACTTATAAATAAATTTTAAAATAAATTCCTGCTTTTAGCGGTCTTATGGATTCACACGAAATTACTTCAAAAATCGGTTTAACATTTAAATTGATGAATAGATATTTTTATATAGTTTTATAAAATTTACAATTATTTTTCGATTTATTATCTGTTATAGAAATATTTTTGATAGTTTTCTAGAATACATTTTTATAACTTTTACAGTTATTTTTTGATTTATTATAAAGTTTCAATAAAATTAATTTTTTGATTTAAATCACATGATTAAAATTTAAAAAAATCACTTGATTTAAATCACGATTTAAATCATGATTTAAATCATTTGATTTAAATCATGCCAACCCTGGGTTTAACTCATCAAAAGAAAAAAGAAAATTATAATATTATTAAAATGTACAAATACTATTTTCCACCTCTTCTAATAAGGTTGTTTTTCTATTCCAGTGCAAAGGAGATTTGGTTCCCCACAGCCAAAGCAAATCCATCCAGTGCTGCGACGACTCGGACTTCTGCAATAGGAACCTGACGCCCATGTACACCCCCCGTCCCACACCCGACATACCCAGTTTCGGACCACAAGACAGCTTGCCATTCATAGTTCTCCTCACCTCAGTCACTTTCTGTCTAACCATATTTCTACTTTGTATAGCCTTCGTTTACATGAAGTACCGAAAGAAGGAAGCGCAGAGCAAGTATAACGCTTATTCGAAAAACTACCATTCAGAGAAGTACCCCAACATGGAGGTCCACGGACCTTTGGCCAGTTTAATCGAGCAATCCAGTGGTTCCGGTTCCGGTTTGCCCATATTAGTACAAAGAACCATCTCGAAACAGATCCAGATGGTGGATTCCGTGGGCAAGGGACGGTATGGTGAAGTATGGTTAGGAAGGTGGCGAGGTGAGAATGTAGCTGTCAAAGTGTTTTTCACCACCGAAGAACAGAGCTGGTTCAGAGAGACGGAGATATATCAGACTGTACTGATGCGTCACGAAAATATTCTCGGATTTATAGCGGCGGATATCAAGGGAACGGGAAGTTGGACCCAGATGCTGCTTATAACGGACTATCACGAGAACGGTTCCCTGTTCGACTTCCTCCAGAATCACTGCCTGGACCCCAGTTCCCTCTTGGTCATGGCTAAGAGCATATCCAGCGGACTGTGCCATCTTCACACCGAAATCTTCAGCACCCGAGGCAAACCCGCCATAGCCCACCGTGACATCAAGAGCAAAAACATCCTCGTCAAACGCAACGGTGAGTGCTGCATAGCCGACTTCGGTCTTGCCGTCAAGTACCTCAGCGACACGAAAGAAATCGACGTACCTCCGAACGTTCGTAGCGGTACCCGTCGGTATATGGCGCCTGAACTCCTTGATAAGTCCATCAACGTGCACGACTTCGAAGCCCACAAGAAGGCGGACATGTACGCTTTTAGTCTGGTGTTGTGGGAGATGTCCAGGAGGTGTGCCACGGGGGATAAGTTGAAGTGTATCGACGACTACGCTGTGCCGTACTACGACTGCGTGCCCAGCGACCCCAGCTTCGAGGACATGATGCAAGTGGTGTGCGTGAAAAAGATGCGGCCGCAGCTTCCGCAGCGCTGGGAGACGGAGGATGTGCTCCTGGCCGTGTCGAAAATAATGCAGGAGTGTTGGCATGCCAACCCCGACGTTCGGTTAACCTCGTTGCGAGTGAAAAAGACGCTTTCGAAGTTCGACCCGGACCTTAGTATAAAGATTGTGTAGTGTCTTGCGTAGGTTTTAGTCTAGATTAGTGTATAAAGTAACAATTTTTCTTGTAATATTGCTCATTATTTTCTTGGAATCAAACTTGCTTCCCAAATAGCACTTAATATTTATTTGACCTGAGTACCTGTTTTACTTAGATCGTCTGGATATCTAACTATCCGGTATCCCCCTATATCCAAGATATAGAATATACCATTTGAACAATATGTTTAGAAATTTATGCATGTAGTGTAAAACTCAAGTAAAGATATCAACATTAAAGAACTTCTAATATACAGTGTGGTCCGAACTGTATTCCGGAAACTTTGGCAGCATATTCTGCAGAAAAAAATAAGTAAAAAAGTTCCTAGTATAAATGTATGTCCTAAAATGATTAGTTTCAGAGATGGTGGTGTAGAAGTTTCATTTTTATTTCGATTTTTTCCAAATAATTTCTGAGGTAACGTCAATATTTGGATGGAAGTTGGTATCTGGGAGTTTTTTGACATGAAAAATTCGATTTTGATGTCAATATGGCTCCTATTTGTACGTGTGTTTTAATAGATTTAAAGAGTAATAACTTTTTGTCCGTACCTTTTTTACGTAAAAAAGGTCTCTTGATAAAAACCGCTACATCCAACCGTTCTCAAGATATTTAGAGTGAAAATAGTTAAAACATGTCATTATTGCCAAAAAAATAAAAACGTTGAGTAGACAGTTATTTGACCGAAATAATAAATTTGGGAAATTTTTATTTTTTTAAATTAATTATAAATTTTTCTATGAAAAATCGATGATAAAAAAATTTCTGTTAAACTTTTGGCACAAAAACACTTCAAACGTATTTCAGTCAATAACTATTTAGTCAACATGTTTAATTTATGTCAATGATGATAGGTATTAATAATTTCAATTCCAAATATCTCGAGAACCGTTACTCGTAGCGATTTTTACCAAGAGACCTATTTTACGTAAAAAACGTCATAAATGTATATATTTTACTGAACAGTTTTATACAGGTACGGACGAAAAGTTATTACTCTTCAAACCAGTTAAAACACATGTAGGTGGCGCCCCCTACAAATAGGAATTCATCATGTCAAAAAACTCCCAGACACCAATTTTCATCTAAATATTGATGTTACTTCATAAATTATTTGGAAAAAATCTAAATGAAAATGTAATTTCTACACCCTGTATCTCCCAAACCAAGCATTTTAGGATATACATTTATACGATTTTTTTTACTTATTTTTACTTGTAGAATATGCTGCCGAAGTTTCCGGAATACAGTTCGGACCACCCTGTATATTTACGGCAGTAACTTGTAAAATTTGAACATTTTTTTTATAACTACTAGATCAATATTCTTGTTATTTTTCCTGACATCTTTTTGTTCAAATGGTTTATATTCAGTTTATAAATTTTATAAATTCTGTACAAATCTTATTTCTTATAGAAATACAATTTCGCAATTTTGTTTAGCATAATCAAAACAACAATATTACAAGAATTCTAACCAAATGTAAATAACTTAAAAATTAAGCTGTAAATATGAAATACCAGAGGTAGCTTTAAAACAAATTATGTACCTATTAATTAATGGAAGATTGTGTAAACTTTACCCCATCAAAAATAAAATAAGTTTTTTCTATTGAAGGATATAATTATTATATAAATTATTTTATTTTTTCAAAAACAAGTTTACTTGAATCTTCCCTATATACTGAAACAATTTGACAATATGTAATTAAAAATATTTGGTAAAACCAAACAGTAATCCAAAAGTGTTGTAACTTTTTCATTGTGAAAATTAAAAATGTATATGCAGTACCAAATTCTTCTATGCCATTCAACAGTGGTGTAACTAGTCCTTCTGAACATTAAATGTTAGTTACACCACTGCTTTTCATATTAACGAATTCCTAGTATGGTGCCATCTTGTATAATAAATGTTGGTGGATTATTATAGAGAACTATGCAACAAAATGCATTATTTAAATAGTATATACCTAGATAATAAAGAAGTTAAGTGAATTCTGGATAGTATATGTTAATTTGTTTCGATGTCAAAATTATAAACTTCTTTGTTAATCTATGTGATGATTTCCCAAATATTAAAGAAAAATATATATCCTTATTTTTGGTGCTGCCAGACAATCCACTCTTCTTCTAAATTTAGAAAAAGTATCGATGTAAAATTACCACTTGTTAAAACTGCACCTTCAAATAATTAAAGAATATGTATCTACTTTTTTTTAAACAAACCAGTTGCTCAAAAATTTGTAATACTTGTGCAATTTTATTTTTTGTCGATAACACTAAGTAATTTTTGATTTTGGTAATCTGTTGCTTTAATGAAATGAAATGTTTTTTTTATTACTATTATTATTTGTCATAGATAGGCCGAGTGACTGTTAGAATGTGCATTTACATTTGTAGATATTTAAAATGTTTAACTCTTTTAGTTTTACCGATGTTGATTGAATGTGCAGTAATATGTTTTTATTGCAAGACTGATATTTGGATGTTGTGTTTATGTAAAAAAGTGTAATAAATTGTAATAAACGTACAGAAAAATAAAGTCTTTTAATTCCAGAGCATAATCAATATCTACTTAGTTCTTTAAAATTAATAAGGAGATAACTTATTGAAATTAATGCCCACTAATTTACATATTGTAACTAAATTCAAATAAATATGAGTTGTTAGATAATAAAAAATACTGTTTAAGGGTTTATAATTATAACAGAAAACAACATAAGTAATAAGGAGAACAAATATACCTACCTTGGTTTGGCCAGAATAGATATGACCAGAATTTTCTTTATTCAGATAACGTCTATAGACTTTATTGTTGTGACTCTTCTATAATCATTGCTGTAAAGATAGTAGATGAATTAAACAATGATCCACTAGAGAAAAGAAATAAATTCACCTTACAAAAAAAAAGAACTCAAAAATGAAAAATTAACACAAATAAAATCCATTACCTACCTAGGCATCGGTGCGTAATAGGATACGTGAGAATTCTGAAACAGAGAAAAATTACTCATCATTTTCTAAAAAAAAACACTTTTTTTAGAACATTATATTTATAAACAAATTGTATTATAAAAAAAATGACAAAAACAGAGATTTCTGACTGACAAAAATTTATTTTGGGGAAAATATATTACAGGAATCTGCTTTTCTCAACTTACATCTACGCCAGATAGATGACAGCTCATGCCTCAAGTATGATCCAAAATTATATTAAATAAATATTATTTTGATAATTATTTCTTAAATTTAAACTTTATTAAAGCAGAAAATTATAGACCATTGATATTTATTAAATTTTAAAGAATCACAAAACACTTTTCGAAAGAATTATTGCAAGTAAATTAAGCAAAATCTACTATTCCCGAACGTGGTTATTCACATGCTATTGGTCGAAAGTAGACTTGTATATGTCAAAATTGTCAAAATCTGCTTCCTTTTCCGCCCTTGCCGATTCAAGGAATCGCCATTTTGAATCTGCATTTGTGTGTTGTTGGCGTCGTTGTCGTTTGGTTTGTGAAATACATCAACCAGTTTTCAGGGCTCCCCTATACTCCATTATTTCCTTTCTTTTTAATTCACTGTCTAATCATTGCAAATATTTCAGACAGGTAAGAAATATCATGTTATAAGTTTTAACACCTATTTTTGATACTAATGGCCACTGAACTAAAATGGCGTCATAATTCCTATTATTCCTGAGGTTTTTATTGTAGATATAATGTTTAAAATTATGTATTTAAGTAGCTGTTACGTTGTGGTAGAGTTAATTAATTTATGCGTATAAAATAACTACTTTTTGTTTGACGTAATACGAAATAGGTACAAGTTATTGATTTTTTTATTAGGTTCTCCATATTAGTTTTTTTTATTTAGACCGGGTTGTACAATACCAACTTAGTTAAACTTGGTTTAACGTTTAATAAAATGCTGTCATGTTAACAATAGAGACAACGCGACGGTTAAAATTCGTAATAAATTAAAATGATAATTAGAAATAAGCTTCTTAGGTGACTTTGCACTCTGTTCTGCTCTCATATTATCTATTCCAATAAAATTTTAATGTTTCTTATTTAATTCAATTGTATTATAAATAGGTTATCAAAAATTCAACAAACGCCAAAAAAAAACACTCGCAAACGCCTTCTATAAAGTATTATTATTTTTGTTGTAGTTGTTTGATTTTTTTCATGGTGGGTTGTAATAACATTTTCAAAATTTTTTCATGAAAACCACATTTTATTTTTCATTGTTCTTGATCAATGACAGCTGATGATCCTATACCTACCTAGTTGATGCATGTTCGAATTATGAAAACGACTGATCATGACAAATTTACTACATATTGTACTTTGTTATTTTACTTAAATTCTTTTTGAAATATCACTTTTGTCTAGCCCCACCAGGCAACTATTAAGCCCGACCAATCACGTTAGAGTTTTTGACCCCCAAACACAAATGAATTAACACCCTCCAAATAACCACGCTAACCAACCTGATTGGTCAAGCTTAATAGTTGCCTGCTGGGACTAGAAACTTCTGAAATATTTCACCATCATATGTCACTAACTGGGGTCAAGTTAGGTCAAGACAATTAAACAGCTCAAAAATGTTAAATTTGTATGCAATACTGAGACATTACAATAAAGGTATGTTCTTAACACTATCTACAGTAGGAGAAACTTCTAGCATTTTAAGAAAAATGCATTCTACAGTTTCGCCCCCGGATTGTCTTTACACGAGGAAAAACTTTTTTATTATTGACATTTCTTCATAAAAAAAATTTGGTTAATCCAAATTTCCATACCGGTTTAAGAGAAAATTAAGAAAAACATGAAAATATGGTTGAATTTTTTCCTAAAAAATCCTAAAAGTCAAAACGCGTTTCTATGATAATATAACTTCGTTTTCATTCTTTGATTGTTATTCATAAAATTTTAATTAATGTAATGTTTTTTGTAGTTTTAAAATGTCAAAGAAACACAAAATTCAATGGTAGGGAAAGGGTGATGATAGTTATCCGAAAATATGATACTTTAACAACAGCATAGAATATGACATTAATTAAAATTAATAAACATCTATCAAAGAAAGAAATCGAAATTTTTCAAAAAAATCGATTTTTCCACAGAAACGCGTTTTTATTTTTGGAACTTTTTTTAGGAAAAATTCAACCATATTTTCATGTTTTTCTTAATTTTCTCTAAAACGGTATGGAAATTTGGAAAAGCATAAACGGGAAAAACCATTTTAGATAAAGCATTTTTTTATGAAAAATGCATTTTTCTCAAAATGTCAACAATAAAAAAGTTTTTCCTCTTGTAAAGACAATGCGGGCACATACTGTATATAAAAAGTTTGCTTGTTCTAAAATGATTAATCCCGTTCATACTATTCCAAATATCCATTCTATTTTAGAGAAAATTCTATTTTTATTCATAGTTTTGATTTTTAGAATTTCAAAATTCATTCAAATTTTCATATTTTTTTATTTTTCTCTAAAATGAGAAATTGGAAAAGTATAAACGGGTTTTACCATTTTGGAACAAGCAAAATTTTTTATAAGACAGCATTTTTTTTTTTTTTTTCAGTCATTCCAGATACATCTGTTTATGGAAAATTTAAAATTTCTCCCCTTGTCTCTGATATATAATTTTAACATTGTTTAGATAGAGCTTTGCTAAGCAAGAAATTAAGTCTATTAGATTTGTACTAGACAACATTATGTTTTTGAATGAATATATTTTTTGGTATATTGGTATAACGTACTCTTTATACCTACAGTTATTGTTATATACTACTATATCAAAGTTCTTGGCATTATATTGATTTAAAATTATATCAGCTGTCACTCTCAAAAACTTCACCAGTAGACATGTTAAAGCTCAAGTTGAAATCTACATTATATAAAATGCTAATGTTTATCTGTGTCATCTCTACTGAAGTAACGACTTGCTCTAGAAAGTTCCTTTTTTACTAAAAGGTAGCTAATTGGCTCTTCTAAAAACTGTCGTCGCCGGATTACTGTTTTTCATTTAATTAAAAAAAAAGTTTTTTTTTCCTGATGTCGTGGCAGATGCGCCAGGCTTCAACTAGTATTTTATATATTTTTCATCTATCACACAGTATCTGTTATAAAATCGGGTCTAAGTGTAGATCATATATACTTTCATACAAGCAGGTACATCATCAGTTTTGCTTTATTCCTTTTCTACGTCTTCAACATGCCATTTTAGATTTTCTTTCCTCCTGTTGAAAAATCGGATCATAACGAGATGGCAAACATGTAGAAACAAGAAATATCAATATAGATAAGTACATGTTATCATCATAGTTTTGGGGGTTATAATTTTTTCTACAAAAGTATATATGATCTAATAGCTTAAGTCTGTTTATGAAGCTTAAGCAAGAATTGATTAGTTAACTAATATGGAGAATCTGTTGATATGCATAAGCGAGACTTTGTTGATCTGTATAAGCATTTAGTTAGCGTACGCGTTTGGTGGGCGCACGCTCTAGTTTGCTTCAAATTGTTCACGTGTTTCGACTTTCAGGCCGGACAAGATGCCGGGTTTTAGCAGCGCGGGCACGTTCAAAATCTTTATCGGAAACCTCGCCGAGAAAACCAGCGTGTCGGACCTTCGGCCCTTATTTGAGAAATTCGGCAAAGTTGTGGAATGCGACGTCGTGAAGAATTACGGTTTCGTCCACATGGAAAACGAATCCGAAGGTCGCGAAGCGATCCAACAACTGAACGGAACCATGGTCAACGGGCAATCGATGAAGTGCGAGGCGGCCAAAAGCCGCAAGGCGCCGCAAACGCCGACCACCAAGATTTTCGTAGGCAATTTGACGGATAACACGAAAGCACCCCAGGTCCGTGAGTTGTTTAAAAAGTTCGGCACCGTGGTGGAGTGCGACATCGTTCGCAACTATGGATTCGTGCATCTCGAGTCGTCGGGAGACGTGAACGAGTCTATTAAAGAGCTTAATGGTACTATCGTCGATGGCCAACCTATGAAAGTCCAGTTATCTACGAGCCGTGTTCGGCAGCGACCCGGAATGGGCGATCCGGAACAGTGCTATCGCTGCGGACGTGGCGGACATTGGTCGAAGGAGTGTCCTAAGAGTATGGGACCGGACAGGTTTCGGGAACGAATGTTCGGACGCGATCCCTACCCTCCACCGCCACCTCCTCCGTTCCTCCGCGACCGGATGATGGGACGATTTGGGGTAATACGCGACTTTATTCTTTTATTTTTTATAATTCACAATTCTATCTTATTAGTCCTGTATACAGTTTTTTTCCTATCAATTTATAGAACTGGACCGTTCAGATTAAGTACTTTGGTTGGCCCAACCACGATAAAAACACTTTCATGGTTCTATTACTCTACATAATTTATATAATAAATTTGTTTCAATCTTGGACGGCTTATTTAAAACTGTAATATCAGAACAAGTTCTATATTTCTCTCAAATATTTGCACTTATTATCCTCTGCAAACCAAAAATTAGTTTCATGGCGCCTGAGTATCTACTTATGTTTTCATGTTAATTAACGCTTTATCCTAGCAGTATTTTTAAAAAATCTGATTATATAATATTTCATTATACAGATAAGAATCTTTAATATCTGGTCTAAAATTACTATAACAATTAGCTATATTTAGAGTAATAGATCCAAACTAAATCAGGAATTTCATATGCGTAATTCGATTCGAAATTTTTGATATGTAGAATTGGTTGATATAAACAAAATTCTGAATTTTTAGTACCAGTTTTTCGTGCTCGTATTATATTTGGCTACTTTGTTACTGGTTATAAATTGGTTCTACGATAGTACAAACTTAAAAGAAATTTCATTTCATTCATCATTTGCATTAGCAGTAATATCTGTTTTAAAATTTTAGTTTATTTATCGAAGCATTTTTTCAATACTTTTTTAATTTAATATATTTTTTAATATAATATATTAAAAAATATATTAAATTAAAAAAGTATTGAAAAAATGCTTCGATAAATAAACTAAAATTTTAAAACAGATATTACTGCTAATGCAAATGATGAATGAAATGAAATTTCTTTTAAGTTTGTACTATCGTAGAACCAATTTATAAAAAAACATATTATGTAAAGAATCCGCTCAAAAAAAAATTAAGAATTTCAACTATATAGTTAATAACTGCACATGCGTTATACGGGCTGGTCCCAACTTTATTCCGGAAACTTCGGCTGCATATTTTACAAAAAAATAAGCAGGAAAGTTCGTATAAATGTATGTCCTAAAATGCTTAGTTTCGGAGATACAGGGTATAGAAGTGTCATTTTTATTTCGATTTTTTCTAAATAATTTCTGAAGTAACGTCAATATTTGGATGAAAATTGGTGTCTGGGAGTTTTTTGACATGATAAATTTGATTTTTATGTCAATATGACTCCTACTTGTAGAGGGTGCCACTTGCATATTTTTTAACTAGTTTGAGGAGTAATAAATTTTCGTCTGTACCTGTATAAAGCTACTGAGTAAAAAATTTACATTTACGTTTTTTTACATAAAAAAGGTCTCTTGGTAAAAATCGATTCGAGCACCCGTTTTCCAGATACTTAGAATGAAAATAGTCAATAAATGTCATTATTGACAAAAAATAAACACGTTGAGTAGATAGTTATTTGTCTGAAATAGTTAAATAGGAATTTTTTTTAAATTAATCATAAATTTTTCTGCGAAAAAATGATGATAAAACGGTTTCTGTTGAACTTTTGGCACAAAAACATTTCAAGTTTATGATTTCAGTCTAATAACTATTTAGTCAACATGTTTAATTTATGTCAATCATGACAGGTATGGATAACTTTGATTCCAAATATCTCGAAAACCATTACTCGTAGCGATTTTTACCAAGAGAACTTTTTTATGTAAAAACAGGTAGTAAATTTATATTGTTTTACTCAGTTGTTTCATACAGGTACGGACGAAATTTTATTACTCTTCAAACCAGTTAAAAATATGTAGGTGGCGTCCTCTACTAGTAGGAGTCATATTGACATCAAAATCAAATTTCTCATGCCAAAAAACCCCTAGACGCCAATTTTCATCCAAATATTGACGTTACTTCAGAAATTGTTTGGAAAAAATCGAAGTAAAAATGAAATTTCTACACCCTGTATTATCAAAACTTAGCATTTTAGGACATACATTTATAGGAACTTTTTTACTTATTTTTATCTGCAAAATATGCTGCCGAAGTTTCTGAAATACAGTTCGGACCACTCTGTATATTAGGTAATCCTAAACTGGTTTAAAAAGTCACCTTCAAACAAAACTATTTTAAAATCGATAAACCTAACAAACATGACTGAAACTATAACATATTTCTTTTTTCTGTATAGGATGCATATGACAGCTATTATGACAGGAGGTATCCCGAAGATTCCCGCGACCTCTATGAAAGGCGCTACTCTGGCATACCCCCACGGGGTGAGTTGGGACTCCGCGGCAGCCGCGATTTTATCCCTCCCCCGTTGCCACCCAGAAGGGAACCCTTACCACCCATGCCTTCAATTGGTCTTCGAGGACCTTCCTCAAGCAGTATGGGCAGTCGAATAAGCGATGGCGGCTTCGCTAGGGGATCTAGCGATTACTCAATGTTCAGTAGAAGATCGCCACCGCCATCTGGAGCAATATCCGGAACTAGAATGAGCCGAATGTATGAAGATTTTAGCAGAGACTCTTTCGATGAGAGAAGGTACGTTGTGCTGGCCAAAAGTTAAAATTTTAAACTAAAGTTATCGCAAAACAATTTCCGATGCATGTGATCAACTTTGAGGGACAAGCGATGGCGACAGCGCTGCCAGATTGTGATGGATTTATGAGATGGGTCTTAATATAAAATTGGGAAACAATATATTTATATCATTTTTTTAAGATTTTTACGTTTTATTTTTAATTGATTAATTAATATTTTAGTAATTTTAATTTATTTATTAACCCTGTAAGAACTAACTCACAGTACCAATATTTAAATTTAATTTAAGACAGCAGCTACTGGCTACAAGTCGAAATAAGAAATAGTTTTGAAATTGGTATAATGTGCTTACTAATCAAACTTACTTCTCTGACTACAGTTAAAGGTAATAAAGGACCTTTATTTACACGTTCTCATTCAAAATAGTTTATCAGGAAAGCTACAAGCTCTTTACTTCGACTGTTTAATTGCTTCGGCATATTTTCAACACACAATTTCAAGAAATGCAATACAAAAACTTGAAAATTTAGTTCTTAAAAGAACAGTTTGTGCTTCAGAGTACAATTTTTAAAAAAATATTAAAATTGACAAAAAATGAGAATTACTCCCAAAGATTCAACATGATATACAAAATAATTACTGACATTATGATAACTGTCAAATAATAACAACGTTGCTGATCGTGGCGCAATGTGAAATGAAACATGGCGATAATAAAAATAAACTAATTTTTGCAGATTCAATCTAAATAATATACCTGTTACAATCATTTGCTCTGAAGTAATATGAGGAGCTTTTCCTCATTTCATTTAGTCAGGTTTATAGGCTTTATAGTCAATTTCGATATGATTGATGAAGTGCATCAGAAAATATTTTCCAGCAAAATGACACTCATATCATATAATCTCTCATGTGACAGATGGTATTCTACATTTATTTCAATCTATACAGAGTCGAACGTCATAAAGAACTTCACTGTAATATTACATTTCAGTTCGTTTTTTGTTTCTTGACAGTGTCTCTTTATTCGACAATTCTGAAAAACAACTCTTCTAGAACATTTCATATTTTTCTAATATTGTATTTCATTTTACAGGCCACCAATGAGAGGACCATCACCTTCCAGAAGATATGCTCCATACTAGATGGTATGAGTCAAAAAATTCCTTCATCAATTTACAAAAGATGACCACAGTAAAAGTTGCAAATTTTAGATCTTAATGATCTTTATGTGTTTGCATTTCCTATATGGCAAGATATTTTATATGTTTAAAATTCTGTAAATTCAATAACTTTAATATTAGCTGGTAGTCTATAATAACTAAATGTGTCTTTTTTATTTTGAATTGTGATTGTGGTAATAAATTACTTCCCATTAACAACAGCTTTTATTTGATACAGAAATGGTTGGAACGTTGGAAATAAATTTTAATGCAGTTAAGTTTAATTGGAATTTCATCACAGTATCATTTTATAAATATCTACTACCTGTATTAGTTCAAGGTTCAGAAAGGATACAAATAAGTTTCTAATTCATAAGAAAGATGAATATCCGTATCAATATCTCACTTTTTTCATGTAGCTCCCACCAGTTGAGTTTGAGTCTGGTTAACCTTTGGACACTGACATGTTATAAAGCATGTTATGGATGTTATGTACTACATATACCGTATAATCGAAAAAAAAAACATCAGCGATGGCTATGTAGTAAAGGTCGCTGTCATTTTATATGTAAAATTTGCGGACTGGACGCCGTTTTTTTTTCGATCATACGGGGGTACCTCCATAAAAATGGGTACAAATAGAGCTTCATTACAGTGGTGTCTACAATGGTTTGGTACTTAAACAGGAGAAAAATTTTACTTGTGATTATATCACTTCATGTATTAAGTGTGTCATCTGCAATCAATATTTCTACTTTTTTACTCACATAATTAGAATTTCCTTGACAATTGAAAATATTTTCTTTGTACCATCACTTTGTTTAAAAGTTCACTAAACTAATCAGTATTAAGATTTTCAAGTAGAATCGTTCTTATTGTATAATCCATTATAATAGAAATATATAGGTATTTAATCAAAAGTTAAAGCAATCGTCTTACAACTAATGAATAAGAATAAGGTGTTTCGTGGTACCTACCTTCCTATATTATGATTCCAAAATAAACATGTTTAGATTTTTCTCTGGGACTAATACTACATTATCACTTATTATTGTTACGTTATTATATTTGGAGCCTGAACCATCGACTTTGTATATTGGAGCAACATAAATATATTATAGATATTTTCTTCCAAAAACCTAATACATGATAATTGATAATATTGTGCTTCAGCATGCAGTACTGGATATTCTTAGGCTTATTGAGGTGAGTCTATGAAATACCATTACCCTGTATAATATTGAACATATTTTTTGTTTGTTGAGCCATTATTAACATACTTTTAAGGCCTACCTTTGGTTGTCCGTGTATCTTTAGTGTTTGCGGTCAAGTTTATATTGTATCATTTTCGTGAAATACATGTATGTATACATATTATTCCAGGAAGTCTATCATTCAATCCAAAATTCTTATAATATTAAATGGAGTAAGTAAAATCACCCCCATTCTTATATCTACTAAAAAATTAACGGAATAACTGAATTTTTCAAAAACTACATCAGCGCCATCTCTCGTCCCAAGACTAATTTGTCGATAAGTAGGTACCTTCTTTCTCAATTACGAAAGCAGCGGCTCGAGCGCCAATATCAATTTTCAATTAATTATTAATTTATTGGAAAACAATTTTCAAGAAACTCTTTCTACCCAATGTAGAAATAGGTACCCGCGCTTGGTACCTGATTATAAAAGAACTTTTAGTTCCGTTAACCACAGGTAATTTACACAAAATACGTATTATAAGTTGTACTTCAGATTAAATAAATATTCAATTCAGAAGCAATACATTTGAGATGTACTAGCGTGATCAAGCGTGATATAACGGTACATTGTGATTACTTTGTTGTTGATTAATTATTGCCATTACGTAAACAATCTAATGATAAGTACACGTATTTTAAATTCTAAACAACAAATATTTATAATAGCCTGCTTAAAATTAAGTAATATGCTTTTTCCAAGGTTTATTAAAAATACTAAAATATATTTAATTGATTGATTCTCTTTCAAAGATAAAATTAATAAATTTAAAATAGATAATTTATCTAGGCTATTCAATTAGTTCTAATTAGTATCAAAAATAAATCCGCAGAGTTATTATCACAGAAAATAATATTATTTGTGGATAACATACGTTTTACATTCGTTATGAAAATAAATAAATTGAAATAATAAACCGCATGCGGTCTGATCAATTTTCATGTTAACTCACCTCGAATAGCCGTCGCGAAACGGAAGTGGATTTGATCTTTTGGCCTTTAGAAAAACGGTTACGTGCGCTCACGTATCAATTAGTCCTCCTTTAACCCAACCGGTTAGACAGAGAGAAATAATCGCCGACAGCTCCGAGCGATTTTCCATAAGAGCCGAAATGAAAGATGAAGTGCGCGCGCTCCCAACAGGCCATTTTGTCACAATACTAACCTTTTGTTGTGATCTATCGAAATGAGTTATTACCAGTGAATTAACCCTCTAATTAAAATATCTGGAAAGAAAGTGGGGCAGTTAATTATTTTAAACAGTGTTGTTCGTATGTGTGATGGGTTTAAGCAACATGTAAACAAACAAAACGGTAAATTTATGGTGGAAGCGACTCCTTGCCGCCGGATCGTTTACTACATTTGCGAAGCAAACGATTGAAAAGTGTTGGCGCAAAATTGCGTCATTCTGTTGTAGTGGTGAGAGTGTTTGGGGTGAAATTGCATTTAATCGAAGCGGATACATCAGTATAATCCAGGTGAGATATTACTTTCTTGAAAAAATAACTTATAATGTAGAAAAAACCTGGTAAATATTGTGGTTTTAATCGCCCAATATGGCTACCGTCGGAATTCGTAATGCCTGTGTATAATGTAGTTACTAATCTTTAGTGCCGTTTTCAGGCGTCGCATGAACGATTAGGGTCATTTTTCAAACGCAGATATTAATTTAAAATTAAGTAGTACCTAAATTATATGTTTATTATTGACATAATTGGCATAAATTTAATAAAATACCTTTAGGCGGGATCGCTATCCGGCGGGGATTGATGCCTGTCCAGTGGCGGACTAAAAATATAATTTTTTTGCTACATTAATCCGCTTTGGACGAATTAGTCACGAGGTAAACATTTATGCCGGTGAAATGTATTTCATAAACAGGTTTTCATTTGCCGTTTTGCTTCTTTCTAATATGAAATACCTAATTAAGATATTTAAATTAAATTTTATTATTCAACATACTCTGTTGTTATTTTCAAACTCAGTAACCGGATAATTAATGAAATTCATAAAGGAAAATCAATAAGCCCTTATTTTTATTACTTCATATAATGATAAACCAATTTACTTTGTATTTTTAAAAACCTGGTTATTTATGTTTACCTACTTTGTCAAGAAATTTTGAAATCCTAGAAATACATATATGTCAAACTATTTATTTTTGAATAATTATGTTAGTTTTTGATTATTACAATTTGTATTTTAAGTTGAAATGAATGAGCCAGAGGATGTAGCTCAAGACGTGTGGCTCAGTTGGATTTTGGATGCCATCAGAAAAATTCGTAACCAAAAACAGCGGCCCAGCATTGAAAGGATATGCCATTCCATTCGTTTGCATCATAACTTTCATGAAGATGTCATTGCCGAACATCTAGAAGTAGCAGTTAAGGATGGGACTATATTAAAAGTGTTTAACAAAGGACAAAGTTCTTATAAAGATCCTGGAGGTTTACAAAGTCGGACACTTCGACTTCAAAAAGGAGGTGATTTAACAAAAATCGTCACGAAAGCAGTCAGAGAGATCGGAGAACGAGATGGTTCGAGTCTAAAAGGGATTGAGAAATACATAAGGCAGTCACATACAGTTATAGAGGAGGAATGTGACTTGCCAACTCAAATCCGGTTGGCTGCAAAAAGAGCTGTTACGAGACAGTTGTTAATTCCGAATGGAAAAAATTTCAAATACAACTACACCTTGTGCAGTCCCGGTGTGAAGAAAAGGGTAGAGGCAGTTAAGAAGGGAAGCAAAGAGTTAGAGCTGGTTTGCAAGGTAAGTACATAGTTTTTAAGTTATAACCTTTTGGTATTTTTGAACTTAAATACCTATTACTCTATTACCTAATATAAGTAAATATTTGATAACAGTTATTTTTTTCTATTTATTCAAAAATATGATTATTGCAGTTTATATCTGTAAGTAATCTATATTGAAATCATATCTCTTAAATTCTCAAGTAGTGAATGAGTTTTTTTTATTTCTTATGATATATCTATTAAGAGATATATTTATGCATTTTTATTTTATTAGTTTTTCATTACTTGTAACTAATTGTCATAATCTGAACTGAACTTTGAACTGAAGATCTAAAGTTTGTCAGGCCACACACAATGCAGTTACGTCGAACGATGCGATCTTCAATTTTGGGACTGTCAATTTTTGGACTGAAGGAAAACTGTGCTTTCACTACACACACAAACAAATCATCAGTTTTAATCAAATGATCTTGAAATGAAAAATGTTTTTAAATACAAAAATACACTTCTCGTGCTTTTGTTATTGCAAGAGCCAATTACAAAGACAAAAATTGGCGCCGGGAGGCACGTATAGCCGCCCATACTAAAATATGTTAATAAAAAGTTGGTAGGCAGTTCTTTTAGTTTCAAAGTAAAGGATTTTTTTCAAAAACTGCGACTTTAACTGATTTTGATGTTATTGCAAATTTTGTTGCAAATATTATTCCTAATCTTAAATTGAAAACCGCGTTTGGCTAGTTACTGTAATTCTGGAGTTACGATTTTTTAAAATGTTTAACCCCCTCCCATACCCCCTTACCAACCCCCCACCCCCACCAAAAACTAATGGCCAGATTCTCGGATGCTACAGTATTTTTGTGCCAAATTTGGTTAAAATCAGTTTAGCGGTTTTTGAGTTATCGTGTTACAGACGGACAGACAGACAGACACCATGAAAATATTTTTGTATTTAGGTCACTTATGACCCAAAATAACTCATTTTACTTTTTCCACAGATAGGGCAATTGTCTATACAAACAATAAATTCGGTTAAAAAAGTCGTATTATTACGTAAGTCGCTCATCTTGATAGTACAAAACTTGTCCAAAAACAAGTACTTACGATTAGAACTGTCGATTTTTCGCCATACATTTCAATCGATCGTGAGATTTAAGTAATCTACAGATTCAGACCTGTCGACGGCCTGTATGTGTATGAAGAAATTTTAACTGACGATATGCAAATCGACGGTTCTGGACTGCCGGCGAACTGTATGTGAATGGGCACCTTTAGAAAGGTTTGTCCAAACAAATAATGAAGTTAAATATAATTTTTTGAGTTAAAGCAGCACACTAAACTAATTTTTCAAATTATACTATTTTTCAAATTACTGGTACTAAATGTATATCGAATAAAGAAGAAATAAATGTTAAAAAAGTAGTATTTTAATTTATTTTGTTTTCTCACAATCTTATTAATTTAATTAATAATTTATTAATCGGTGCATTAATATCTACAAAAGTTTTAATCAAAATTCATCTCAGGTCTTCATTTACTGGGTGTTGATTACCAAGTCCAAAAAGACTAAAAGAAACAAATTAGCTAGTTCTAACACAAAAGAAAATTATAAGTTTGTATTAGATAGTAATTTAATGCAATTCATTCTTAATAAACCTACTTAAAGCGACAAACCTGTGTAATTTAATAGTTTTGTCACCAGTAAGTACATACATATGTTCTTTCTCACATGTCTTTTTCCACGCGATTAATTTTACAGGAGGGAACGGATTATGTCTACACTTTACAGTTGTAATTTTTATCGTATCGGCATTCTTAGTAGTTATTTAGTCATGCAACCTTTAAGCTGATAATCAGGGTACAGTAAATTCCAATTTGTTTTCTCAATTACTACGTGTTGCGTTAAATAAGAGATAAATTTAATTATATTATACGCGATGTGTCAACTTTCTTCAAGCATTAGTTAAGCTTGTTGAACATCTTTGAAAAACATTTCATTAAAAAGTGTTGACTTTTGAGGCTGAAAATTTAAATATATCTGGTACATTCTTTGTACAAATAAATTTGGTTTAAAAGATAATTCATGAAAACTTCTGTCGACGACACGATTGCTCACGCACTGCAAATGGTAACATTTTAAAAATACTTGTGGGTACGAATCGGCTTTGGGACACCAAACAGATTGACCCTTGTGGTCACCAGGGAATAACGTTTCTTAAGGACCCCCCACTTGCCACCACAATAAAGTTTTTTTCTCTTTTTTTTTTATTAAAGTCTTTAATTTTGAAGACAAAAGTAAAATATACAAAAAATGTAACAGCCATTAAAAAAATTGGCGCCGGGGGGCACGTATAGCCGCCCCCTTTAAAGGAATTTTTCCAATTTTTTTTTATCTCAAAAACTGCGACTTTGACTGATTTTGATGTTATTACAAAATTGAAAACCGCGTTTCGCTAGCTACTGTAATTTTGGAGTTACCATTTTTTAAAATTTTTAACGCCCTCCCATACCCCCTTACCAACCCCTCACCCCCACCAAAAACTAATGCCCAGATTCTCGGGCGAGTTCTCGGGTGCCACAGTATTATTGTGCCAATCTTTTAACCGGCCAGGACAAGACACTAAAAACATTAGACGATCAAATCTATTTTTCCAATGTTCCTTGATTAAAAATCGGTGTTTTTAACACAGCCATGGCACTCTAGAATTGAAATTTAATATTCAATTTTGTTTTAAGCGGAAATGTCAAAAGTTGACATATGATTTGTCATTCTATTCAGTGTGTCATTTTCTATCGAATAAAATAATAAAATACCGAGGATGCCATTTAAAAATTAAAAGTTGTAGTAATTTCCGATGAAACAGGAAGTGGCCCAAAAAGAATTGAATACGTGAATCAATTCTAATTTATGTCTTTTACTAACATACCAAATCTCATTTTTTTATCTGAAAAAATAAAAGTTATGGGAGTGAGCCTCTTTTGAGACGCATCTGGTTTAAAACGTATTACAATATTTTGAAGGGATGCGACGCATCACCCGCATCAATGGAAGCTTCGCCACTGTAAGCTTATATTAAGTTCAGTAAAAAATAAATAGTATTTTTCTATACTGAGCCAACCGAACCCTGCAATGATAAATGCGACACGCTTTTAGAACCATGTCGGTTATTAACTTATTAACTAATAGACCTGCAAAACTACGCGAATTCCTCGCGGTACCGGCTCTCGCGTACTGCATGTTCTTTGTCGTTTTGTACCGTTGTTGTGCCGAGTGTTATTTGCCTCGGCGGCGATTTGCATAATTTAGCATTCTCTACAGCGTCTATTTTCGACGAGGGCGGGTAATCGTCGTTATTGCCACCTTTTAGCGGCCCGGCCAACAGGTTTGTTTATTCAATTAAACTTGTCGAGTTTTCAGACGAAACGAGAGAAATCTGAAGGTGCGGGTTTGTGCGATGATATCTCCGCTTGTGTAGTCCAGGCGTCTATACTCGATTTATTCCTTTTACTATTAGCGTTGATTGAAAGAATTGGGAAGATACGCAACCTAATGTAGGGTTGCCAACTTTCAAAATAAACAATAGAGGACGAGAAAGAGGCACAGGCGAAACATTTTTTGAAACCTCGCCACTCGCCACCCTCGTCTTTTTTACTTTCTTAAAAATGTTATACTCAAAACTTGTTAACATAAAACAAACCATAAAAAATGTCTATACCTATGTGGCGGATTCATCTCTCCAAAAAATCCTATATGGGTATTTCGCCACTGCACTGCAAGAAGAATTTGTATAACCGTAAACATAACTTCTGACAAGTAGTGTCCGTTTGGGTTTAACGCAGAAGTGTTTACAAAAAATAACTATTTTATTTTGTAGATTTTCTTGCAGTGCAGTGGCGAAATACCCATACATATAGGATTTTTTTTGGAGAGAAAACAAACCATTTCGATCAACATCGACAAAACTTTTTTTATCAAAACATAAGCTAACAGTAAATAAACATAAAATAGTTAAACATGTTTATTGCTTCCAAAAAAATTTCTTGTACACATATTTCTTCATTTTCTTTTCTGTACAAACGAGTGGAAGTAGCGAAAGACACAGATTAACAATTTTTTAAAGCATTGTGGCGATGACGAATATTTTTTAGATTTTGAGCTTGATCTGGTTTGGTATGTAAAAAGGACTTTTTCAGTGCGTGAGAGAAAGGAGGACAGTGAGATCAAAAAGAGGACTGTCCTCTGGGATAGAGGACGGTTGGCAACCCTAACCTGATGGGCGAATTCGTGACAAGGCTGATTTGATTTCCCCTTACGTTTCAAGTGCTGTACAGTGGAGACACCAATCGTTCTGCGGTCAACGCATAAAACACTTGTTTTCTCTCATTCGGCCAACGAAGGCATATCGAAGACGGTGTGGATCTGAAAGCGACAGTGTTGCCATATTAAAATGTGTAATATCTGTAATACGTTTGACGAAAATATATTTGGATGAAAAATCCGCGTTTATGTATTAAAATTTTATTCGTGTTAAACATAGAATAAACAACAAAAATAATTTTTTATAGGTACTGAATATTTAGCTCATCTCGGACATGTTTTGTTCTGCGAAATCACACATTGACGAAAATGTGAAAGAGTCATTTTGATCGTGGTCTCATGACAGTTTGTCTTCCAAAGGTTGTGCCACCCCCAAAATATTGAATCACGTGCATAACTTAACATGTCTAATTGTCTTATCAGTGATCATTGAAAATTGCCGGTTGCAATAACAGGGTAATTGAATAAAGAGTAGTAAACACACATCACAAAAAAATGGATATGTGAAGTGCTAATAAGCACATAAATAATTCAATTCGCCTGTGTACATAAAATTAAACAATGTGTTAACGTTTTATGAGCGTAGTTTCATAAATTTATGTAAAAATATGGATTTGGCTAATATCAAAACATATGCGAAAACTATATGACCTAACGAGGTTGCATATAAATGTTTGTCAATAAAGATCGTTATATTTATT